GTTATCGATAACGCTGCCTCCTGCATTTATTCGAAACTACTATTTTGCAGCTTCCCTTGGTGGGTAACCACGGAGGAAGACAACTGGTTTGCGTGGGCAGGCGTACCTCATAGTGGAACTTGCGAGTGGAGTCCAGAGTATGAGTGTCTCTGATGTCAAAAGAGTCATCCAACGTGCACTTAAAGCATCAATCATGTGTCATGCCTATATAGCTGAATGAAGATTGGACGGTTTTGAATGAGCCTGCTAGTAAGTCATTAACTTCCACGATTCTGCGAAGCTCGTCACTAATGGGGCTGTGATAGACCAGATCAACTGCCATTGAGAAGATAAATCGTCACCAACCTCAATAGTGAGTCCCTCCTAACTCCACTCCGTATTTTGGGGGGTACCTATCCTAATTGTCAATCAAGTTCGCTGTATAAGCTTCGAAGTGCGGAATTCTCTCGCTTTGTGCTTTGGCCATCACTTACAGTCTCGGATCATCCACGATTCGGCCTCTCCTCGTCGCAAACAGAAAGCAGTTTTTTCTCTCCCCATTTCTTTTTCCTCATAGGACTACAACTATTTATTCACCGGACAATCAATTCGTCTTAGGCGCTTGATTAATGTCTGTATCCTCGGCCCTGCCCCATCTGCGCTTTAGTCCTGAGGGTAAAAGCCGAGTGTAAGGATAGGGAGTTATAGTCGAGATGCGGGTGCTAAGGCCTTTTTCAAATATTGTTGTAAGTATTCAGGAAAATTTTCGGTTACTTTTCCTCGCTGGCAGTCCGTCGGAGCTTGAGTTGTTAAGAGAAGTGGCCAAGGTGTTGAAAATATGGAGTACCGTGATAATTCAGGTGATGCTTAATGGGACTTACAGATGAAGGGGTTGGGTGTTGTGTTTTCTATTATTTCTGTGTTGGGATACACTTTGTCGATCTTACTAGGCTCGATAATAAAGAGATCCGACGGGTGCCCACTCCCATCATCTGTCAATGGTGTCCACTAAGAACCTCAAGCCCTCACGGAAGAGTCTGCAGAGCCGAGATTGAGTGACACCTTTTCAACTTTGAGCGGAGTTATCTCCCCCTCTGTCGAAGATTTGCTTCCGATAACTTATAAGACGACCAAGACGACGATAATGATGCTGGGAATGAGGAAAGATAATGCGGTACCGAATGCTACAATCGTAGTCAGAGAAGCCCTCGTTACAATACAAAATGTGCTACCCACCGGCGGGCAAACAAAAAGCCCACGAATGCAAAGAAAAAGACCCTTCCGCCCTCAAAAAAAGCAGATTTCGACTCGTCTACGATATCGTCCCTACCAATCTTAAACTCCGCGCATACTAGCCAGGAAGGCGTCTGAAATATATGAGTTACTCGACGACCCCACGACCGTAACGACTTTCGGATGCTGGGCTAGGCTCTTTCACGGCAGTCACTCTCGACCAAGACTTTTCTGACATCCTTTCACGACCTTCAGTTTGTCCTGCGGCATGAATCAGGGGAAGAGCAAGGAGGAGGCTAGGAAGATTGAGAGACGCTCTTAGCTATGCACAGGTCTGCTGCGCCCGGTTGGCTGGCATCTTCGTCATAGGAGAGACCCGCACCCAGTGGTTTTTGAGAATTTTCCCTGCAGCTACACACCGGTGAATGGCCATCGTTTCGTTGGCTGGAGAGGGGAGATAATGATGGGATAACGGGTCCTCTTAATGTGTACTCGAATGAAGGTCTGTGGGGGTATTACTGCCGGAAAGAAGTCGTGGGGGAGGCAAAGGAAGGAGTACCCTATCCGAGGTAAAGATACTCCTGGCCTGTAGGTAGAAAGGAACTACAAGTCTTTATATAGTCATTGACTTCATAGGACAATAAACAAATACAAAAAAGAAGACCTGACCGACTGGTGTATGGCGATCGGGGATTGTTTACACCCTGTGTTAGCGTTGTTTACTGATGATAATAGGAGATCCCGCACCGGCTATCTATTGGGATTAAAAAGAGTCAGGTACCTATGTTAAGAAGAGTAGTTGAATTGACTTCCTTTTATCCTTCATGATTACACAAGCTTACCTCTACAAGCAAGTCCACGAACTAAGTAGCGGGTCATATATTTTAATGCAAGGTGTGTACGTATTTCAGTTGGGTGTGCGACCAGTGTCCGAATAATAGGTAGAATTTTTGGGGGGTTAAGATTATTCTATGATTGATAATAGTTACTATTTGTAATTTCGGTTAGTATCCATAGATGGGGTTAACGTGATGACGATCGCAAGATGAGTATTGTATTTTTAGTGTTTCATATACGTCTTGGATATACGAAGATTCATCATATCAGGCTACTCTCTGATCCAGGCCATAACCTCCACGGTGCACCCATTCTCTTTAATTACGAAACAAGATCTCAGATATAATGCCCATGATGGATGGTCAATTGGTTCAGCGTTTGTCTGTATCATTCAGCCTCCTTTTCCACGGAACTTTATGCCTCAACAAAGGTAGCAACAGAAGCTGCCTGCGCGGCAACAAGTCTCCGATAACCTGTAGCCCCAGCCAGGCGAGGCCTAGACACCAGGACCATAAGAGATGCGCATATTTATCTAGGTCTCCCTTCTTCTTAACATTAGAGGCCGACTTGATCCAATCCGCCATCTCCATCTCGCGTGCTGGGTACTTTCCAAATACTCATCGGATGGCTTTTCGTCCGTGATCAAGGGTTGAACATGAGGAGGATTTCGACCCTATTATCAGATCTGATTGTGGTTAGCTTCATGATAGAGGTGATAGGGGTTTGGTTGAGGGATGAAGACGATACAAACCACGACACAATTAGGGAATCATCATCATCAGAATGAGGAAGGTTTCGCTCAATCTTGGCTTTGCAGATTCTATCGTGAGAGCTGGAAGTTCGCAGGAGGTACCACTAATATGTGGCAAGTTTTGGTTTCTTATGAAGATAAGTTAAGAAGGTGGGCGGTGTAGGTTATCTTTTAACCAGTTGGAACTAGATCGAGCCAATCTGTGATTGATAATTGGAATAAAAGCGACTGGATTCGATTACTTTTGCAGTTGAAAAATCTCTACAGATTAGGTTTTTGTTCAATAACAGGTCAACGTAATACCTCCAGGATCCCGTCATGTAAAAATTTTCAATTCTTTGATATTTCTTGAATGAATACCAATTTAGAATAAATCTTTCTCTTTGAGATTTTGGTTTGCACCGGTTACGTCTGCTCAAACTTATCCTCACTTAAGCTGTTCATGTTTACCTTGATGTACTACTTGTACTCTCTTGGCCAAAGTCTTAGCTCAAGCAATCTGTTTAGATGTAGAGCTTCTTATTGTCATGAAATTTTCAAATGATGAAAATCTTAATAGTATTCAGCCTTTTCATGTTAATCTGTTCTTTCAATTCTTATTTACTTTGCAAAGATATGCTCCTTAACATTTCTGACCGCAACTTTGCTATTTGTATGAGTGTCTACGCTATTTGTAGCAGGTGATTTAGGGTGTAGGAAAGCTAATTATTTGTTAAAAAATTTATGTCTGTTTGTTTATTAATGTGTCAGGCAATTGGCACCCTACGCACTTCTGTGGTAGCTTGAGCATGAGTAGAGCCGGGCTGGATCAGATTAACCGCCATCAAGTACTTCAACGTGGTGTCATCTGAATGACTGCACCACCTTGGAATTCATCTTTGTGTTGAACATATCAAGTCTAACCGTCTGGTGTACCTAACTTTTATACGCCGAAGTGCAGTTTCCCCCCAAAACTCAGCCACAATGCGCCCGAACCTTTGATACCTTCCCGATCGCTGATTTATCTTTTCAGTTCAGCCCCAGTCACATCTCATCTCATTCGGAGATCGTTTTATTTACTGGAGACCTCATACACTCGCCCACCGAGGCCTCCCCAGTTTTCCCCCTTGATTATAGCTTTCATTAACCTTTATATAAATATCGTCATCTCAGAAACTTTGTAGAGAGTCCATCTATCCGGCCTAGCCCCGTAGCTGCTGAACCATAACCGTATAGGACGAGTGTAGGTCGAGGAGCTTAAGACCGAAGCATTGATGCCTCAGCCTTTCTCGAATGCTTTAATCGATGTGCCGGCGAAATATCGTGCGTAATTAGTCGGCAGCGATCTATCGCAGGTAGAGTCGCTCGTAACCCTAGCTGAGGTATTAACAGATATAAGGCCGATACTTCGAACGTACTCTCAAAGCAAGCGAGAATTGCGATAGGATGAATATCCACTTGCATTCTAGGTTGCTGCTGTAATTTCTAGATTTCAGAATCCTTCGGTAGGTGGTGAGATGATTTAGGAGAGTCGTAAGATGAATATAGAAGGAAAAAATCTCTGAAGGAAATCAGATAAAGCAAAGTTTATCAGTTGTTTTAACACGAATAACAGACAGGTTTGAGCCTGTCTGCGGTTCGTATTTGGGCTGTGGGAGATTGGTGTCGTTGAGTTGTACCGTCTTGAAATCTTTGCGGGTCAGAATTTTGACCAAAAACTTGCTAACAACACTCCTCTCGATCGCCATGTTGACTGAAGCCTCTGGGTAAAGCCTTTGTCATATCTGAATTTCAACTTTAGAATGAGTTTTCACTCCCAGGTTAGAAAAAGACATCAGTGACAGGAATTCAGTATCCGTCCGTTTGAAACGCAGGATATGCACATGAGTCAACTTTGGTCGGTGCACTTCTGTCACCAGACTAGGGTCAATAAACGTCATCTCCTTTAGCAGGCCAAGTCTACATCAAAGGCTCTAAATGCAAGGGTTGTGAACCACGCCACGTTTCGCAGAAGATGCTAATCATGCCAACGCTGGGAAGCAACAGTAGAGCTTCCAAATTGCCAGCTATCAAAAAATCAAATAACTAAATAACGAAGCCTTCCTATGAGACAAGTCAATTTTTAATATCAGGAACTTCGAATTCGCTAAGGAACTAGGCAAATGACGGAAGCGTCGAACTGAAATATCTGGGAAGCTAGGGGAATGCGAGTAGCAGAAGAATGTTTGGATCTACAAGAAGACAGCGCTCCTCTACCAGTGCTTCGACACCTCCAGAAGCCTCCCAATCTACCGCCGAGCTTCAAATTCTTCTGGAGCTTCTAACTGATGCACTCACAGCCCCGCCAAAATCTATTTACCCCAGCCTCGGGCTGCTCATAGCGAAATCCGAGTCCGTCCTTCATTATCTGTTAGCATCTTCAAACCTACCTCGATCAAATGATGATTTCCGTCGCCTATCCGGCTTTCAGATTCTCCTGGATACTCTGCGAACCTTCTCTGGATTCTATCATCCGATAGAGAGAACTCATGAGGATAAAATACAGATATTTGAGCTCATAAAGATTATATTGAAGATACTGTCACAGGTATTTAAGGATCACAATGGAAACCAAAGATATTTTAGGCAAAGAATCGAACAGGGTGGTTGGGCTACGCTAGCTCAGACAATAGCGAGTATCGGCATTGCTGGAAATGACCCTGACTTGTGGCGAGAAGCTCAACTCTTTGGGAAACTCTTATCCTTTGTACTGGACGACTGGAGAATAGATAAGTTGTGTCAGCAAGTGATAAATTTATGCTGCCCTAGAGTGAGCGACAATGACACCCCGAGGGAAATCTTATCTCTTTTGTGCACAGAAAAAGATTCTGATAAGTCCTTTTATATGGATAATGTGGAAAGTAATCTTTCGGAAATAATTAAAGATCCTGTTTTGCTGCACCAACCTGACTTTGTCTCAACAGTCATTGATTTCTGGAAGGCCATTACTCGGACAAAAGCAAGCATAAATCCTGTTGCGAATATCGTGATAATGACATTATACAAAATATCCCTAGTATCCACTCACAATCTCAAAGAATTACATAAAACTGGGATATTATCAACTCTATTACCTCTAACTTTCGACATCGATTCGCCTCTTGGGTCATATGAGAAAATAAACGTTGAAGCTTTTTGCAAAAATTTAATCTCGGTGGGTATTAATGACTTGAGCGATACAGAATATCTAATCCAAAGTAAATCATCTGGCGCTGCACAATTTTTACTTGAGGCTTTAGATTCTTCGCAAACACCCCCTTTTATCCAATTTGATCTTTCTCTTAATGGGTACGCATCTATAGAGCTTCCTAATCTTGGCAGATGCTTTCCTCCACCTCCTAATATTCCGGGCTACAGCCTGGTGGTATGGATGTATGTTGATCGATTCGATCCAAAAATTCATACAACTATTTTTGGCGCGTTTGACTCTTCACAAACTTGCTTCGTCCTTGCATACTTGGAGAAAGATTCTCATAATTTTATCCTTCAAACATCTGTGACTTCACCGAAACCTAGCGTAAGGTTCAAATCTATCGTATTTAGGGAAAGAAAATGGTATCACGTTGCAATTGTCCACAGAAGACATAGAACTATGACAGCAAGTAAGGTATCACTTTACGTCGACGGAGAGTTTGTTGAGCAAGTCAAGTGTCAGTATCCTAACCCACCGCCACTCTCGAATGCCAGCACTGAAAGCTTCGCTTCTTTTTCCTCGTCAGCTAGAGCAAACCCCGTGCAAGTATTTCTTGGCACACCGAAAGATCTTTCAGCGCATGTTGGGCCTAGTGAGGTATTTTCACGATGGTCATTCGCTTCTGCCCACCTCCTCGAAGATGCACTTAGTAATGATCTTATCGCAGTCTACTACCGACTTGGACCTCGTTATCAAGGAAATTTTCAAGATTGCCTAGGATCTTTTCAAACTTACGAAGCATCTGCAGCTCTTGGTATGCGGAATGAGCTCATCCACTCAGGCAAAGATAGTAACTCGGAAATAATATGTGCTATCAGAGAAAAAGCAAGTACTCTGCTACCAGAGAGTCGCATTCTTCTTTCTATATTACCAATTTCAGTTCTTCCAGATGACGAAAAACTGGGTAACCATCAGTCACAGATTTTTTATCGATTAGAAAAAGTTCCCACTCGCAATTTGATTCAATTATCCCAAAATAATAGCACAAAAGTCGTGATAAATGCGGCGATACCATCAATTAATAGGGCTTTAACTCGTCCGAATGGTACAGCAGTGCTTACAGGAAATCCTGTCATCATAATCCCCCAATCGCTTGATAATAGTTTATGGCAGATCGGAGGTTTTACATCGATTGTCTTAAAGCTAGTGGAAAATTCTTCGTCACAGGATGACATCTTAAGGGCAGTTGGAATTCTATTTCATGGAATCAAGGATAACTGGCGGAATAGTGAAGCAATGGAGAGAGAGAATGGTTATGCAATCCTTGCAGCGCTTCTACGTGGCAAAATTGGTGCGGGCACCGTCATACTACCAAAAACTGGAATAAAACCTCCAGGTTTAACGCACAAAGAACGGGAAAATCTCAGTTTTCGGCTTTTCAGCTTAATATTAAATTTCATAGGATATAATCATGCAAAGCCCGAGGAATCTTATATAATCAACCCTCTAGCTTACAGGATATTACTCGTGGACTTTGACATGTGGCGTAAAGCTGCTACAGATACCCAAGTGTTTTACTATAAACAGTTTATTACGTTTGGAGTCACCAGTAAATTTCATCAGTTTAATTCTCGTCGTCTATTTCGAATGCGTATGTTCAATTCTTTTTATAAAGTAGTAACTAATAATTTGTGAAGGTGTTGTCAAGAGGTTTCTCGATGCTCTCAAGGCTGAAAAATTTTCCCAAGATGTTTTTCCTTTCTTTATGGAATCACTAAAAAGCTTGGTTATGTGTAATGTAACAGCAGAGGTATTCCGGTCCTTGGCTCTATTTGTCACTTATGCATATCACAAGCCGACAAATCAGCACACCCGTAACGGGTCCCGAAGGCCATCAATAGGTACTCTTAGTGACACCAAAGAGTTGAAGTCAATTATCCTAACAAGACGCCAATGTGGCACAAAGATTCTCGAAATGTATTCTAGTCTTCTATGTCAGAAAGACAACATCACGGCAATTCGCAAATTTGCAAGAACAGTCACAAACAAAGTAGGTGTTGTCCAAATTTAAAGCGCTATCTTTAACCCAATATAGTGGCTCTTGCATCTCCTTACAGAAGATGATCCCGAGGTCATAATTCTTGCAACAAAAATTCTATCACGTCTGTTAGTAGTTCATGGATCAAGCTATATTTCAAAGTTTACGAACAAAACCGGTGGATTCACGATAATGCGACATCGTCTCAGGCGCTGGTGGAGTCTCCCTACACTTTGGTCTCTATGTTTCAGTATTTTATTCAACAGAGATGTCGCTGAAATCGACGTAGACCGCCCATTTGGACTTTTTTACCTCTGGGAAACTTTTAGCCATTGCAAAGTTATAAATTCGCAGGTATTGCCAGTCATAACTTCAATGATACAGTGTGGTTTGAAAGAAGTTTTAAGAAATCAGGATGATCCAGACTCGCCACTCACTCCCCTGAAGGAAGACGCGAAACAAACAAGTTCTTCGAAGACTTCAAACCGGTCTCCCTCGCGAAGTAACTCGATATCTTCGACAAAAAAAACTGAACCTGAATGTGAGTATATTTTAGTCACGTGCGAAAGGCTCTACTTACATCGTTATAGTGATAGAAAAACTTCAGAGAGACCAGCCAAATAACCAAGCAACCTTGCTCTACACTGTTGCTCGCTTCTTCGCTGATTTACACTGCAAGTCTTCTGAATTTAGAGATTTTGCGTTATCCTCAGAATATTTGCGGCTTCTACTAGCTGTTCTATTTCCAGTCATAGTCAGTACAGACGCTATGAGTGCCGAAACAGAGCTTAATTCGAAAGAAGCATCTTTGACCTTCGGGGGGAATGACGTCATAATTCGTCCTGTGCCTCGACTGTCACCCGTCCCAGCATCAAGTATGAAGGTGTTACCTAGTGACTCGAGCCTTTCTCCAGCTACAAATTACTCTAGACCAAAGACCCTCCGGAATAGTTCTTCATTCATTCTGATGACAACCCGACCTTCTGAATTTAGCCCCTCTTCTGCTAGATTAACGCTTGTAACATCACCTAGAAAAAAGATGGGTATTCCACAAGCAACTAACTCGCTAATTGAGGACTTATTGGAGTTGATAATAGCTGTCTTTATTGATCGTATTATGGTTAGGAAAGAGTTTTCTGGGTTTGGGCTATTTTCTAAGTCTCCTCCTGGTTTTCACGAACATCAGGTATATTTTCAAACTTATATACTCCGTAATACGATCTCTCAGCTTAGTAATAGCATCCAGCTAGATCAAAAACTTTTGTGGGAGCCTAGAGTTATTCAAAATATGGCAAGGTTTGTTGCCCACACGTGTGAGGCCGTATTTGAGGGATGGTTTTTAAGTGGTGCAGAACCTTTAATTGATTTTGCAGGTACAATACTGGAGTACCTCCAACGTCCTGAAATCTCTAAAATAAAGAGCGTAAGACTCTGCCACCAAGCAATATTAAATATCAAAAACATATTCATTAAGGTTGTTCTTCTACGCTTTTCCGAAATAGATGGCTATTATGTTGCAGAGTCTGATGCTGTAGCATTCATGGATAAAATTTTTTACTGGCAAGCAATCCTACTCTCACCAGATATTGGACGCCAAGACGAGTATTTTAGGCTCGTATGCTATCAATTATATCTAAAATTGACTGACTCTCGTGAATCAATTCGATTTGCCGCAGCCAATCTCTGGCGTATCATGCTTGTCCAGAAACCAAAGGAGATCTCATTTGTGTTTCAAAGTACAGTATCAAATGACCATCAAACTCTTATCAATGATTTCAAAAGACTGATTGAGCTCGATAACGAAACTTTCCTTGAATGGATAGATCAACAGCGAACTGACCTTGATGCATTTTTTTTTGGCGCAATCACCAAAACATGGGAGAGATTTGTTAACTCTGAGAACGAAAAAACAGTAGAGACGAATAGAGCTCGGATACTTAGGCGAAGGGAACGGCTCAAGCAATGGTATACCGAGGAATTAAACGAAGAGGATATATTACTTCGCCACGATTTGGGTACTGCGATATGGATGAAAAATATTTACACATCTGAACACCTAAAGCACCAACGGGCCCAACAAGACCAACAGGATAATTTTATATTCCTTGCATCAACTTTTTCAAATATGGCTCAAGGGGTGCAGAGGCCATGTGCAGTGTTTTACAACGGGCAGCCGCTAATGTGGCAACTTGACAGAACCGAGGGACGAAATCGAATGCGAATGAGAATTCTACCTAATCGAGATTTACCTGCTTATGACTATCGTCCAAAAAGAAACGTGACAGATGTTTGTTCTCATTCTGAAGTAAAACCTCGTATATCTACAAGCCGATCTACTAGCATGACACCATCTTCTATATCAGCTGTTGCTATTACTATAAATGGAAATAATGAACCGTCTAACGCTTTTGTAAGTTTAGAGGCAGGATTGAAGAACAAGCTGGATAGTGGCGTTGTTCCTGATGATGACTTCGAACTTGTAGACGATCCTAACGATCCCGTTGAGGATGAAACCTATGAAGATAAAAATCGCAAAGTCATGCGCAGCCTTCAGCGTGGAGATCAAGTCTTGAATGTTTTCAATGTCTCGCGTATTGTCGGCCTCGAAGCTTGTGAAGGTCTATGTATCATAGGAAAGGACTGTCTATATCTCATTGATAATGTATTCCAGCGGTCTGATGGCGAAATAGTAAATGTTATGCAAGCGCCCAAAGAAGAACGTGATCCATACTTACAGATGATATCGGGAAAATATGATTCGAAGGACATTACAGCAAACAACTTTCAAACAGAGAGAGCTGATCAGACGGCAAGGAGCTGGAGCTGGAATGATTTAATTAGTATTTCTAAACGCAGATTCCTATTTCGAGATGTTGCTATCGAAGTTTTTTTCATAGATGGCCGAAGTTATCTACTAACAGCAATATCACCTTTGCTCAGGGACGATCTCCACGCAAAGCTTACTTCTAAAGCCCCACATACTTGCGGTAATTCTACTCTACCAAATCCTGAGGATGGATGGCGTCTTGAAGCTCTGAAGGCAGCTGAGGAAGCACCAACAAGCCTGAGTTACAAATTCGGTAATATCTTCAGCCCTTCAGCCTCTAACCCTGCAATGAGGAAATGGGTCAAGGGTGAAATATCTAACTTCCATTATCTAATGCTAGTAAATACAATGGCTGGTCGGACATTCAATGACCTCACCCAGTACCCGATTTTCCCTTGGGTAATTTCGGACTATAAGAGTGCAGAGTTAGATCTCAATGACCCTTCATCTTTCAGGGATCTCTCTAAGCCAATGGGTGCTCAGCATAGTTCAAGGGCTGCAGAATTTGTCGAGAGGTACAAACAATTTGCAGAAATGGGTGATCATAATACGCCCGCTTTTCATTATGGGACCCATTACTCTTCTGCTATGATTGTCACCTCTTATCTTATAAGACTTCAACCATTCGTACAATCATATTTGCTACTACAGGGTGGCAACTTTGACCATCCTGATCGCTTGTTCTATTCTATTGAAAAGGCTTGGCTGTCTGCTTCTCGAGATAATATGACAGACGTTCGTGAGCTAACTCCGGAATTTTTCTATCTTCCAGAGTTTCTGACAAATAGCAATGGCTTTGACTTTGGAACGCGCCAAGGAAAGGGGGGTACTATCAACACTGTCGAACTACCACCCTGGGCTAAAGGTGATCCAAAAATATTCATTGCAAAGAATAGAGAAGCGCTCGAGAGCCCTTATGTTAGCCAATATTTACATCAATGGATTGATCTCATATTTGGAAGCAAGCAACGCGGTGAAGCCGCAATTGATAGCATCAACGTCTTTCATTATCTCTCATACCATGGTGCCAAAGACCTCGAAACTATTACCGATCCAATGCAGAAGCTTGCCACTATTGGAATCATCCATAATTTCGGGCAGACCCCTCACCAAGTCTTTACCAAGCCTCACCAGTCACGCGAAAACTTCCGCCACAAACAGAAAAGACTTGATAACTCAGCTCATACCCTTACTCGATTGCCATTTCCTATACTCGAAACTCATGAGCGTGTAACTTCCCTTAATTATCTGCCTAAGCTAGACCGTCTACTATGCGGCACAAATTTTCGCCTAAACATACCACCACATTACGATAAGTACTTAGAGTATGGATTTGCTGATGGCTCTCTCCGTTTCTTCTTTGTTGATTCAAAAAAACCTGCCGGATTATTTGAAAATATTCATCAAGGCCAAATATCAAGCGCTATCTTCGCCTCCTCAACTCTCCTCATCACAAGTGGTAAGGATTGTGTGGTATCTGCTCATACTGTCATAACATCGCAAAATAGGGCAGTCGATTTACAACCACGTACCTCTCTTTTTGGTCATAAAGCTCCTGTTACCGTACTTGCTGTTTCTAAATCATTTTCAACACTGCTCACTGCTTCTGTTGATGGCATTGTCATTCTTTGGGATCTAAATCGCTTAGAATTTGTACGCAAATTAACTTCAGTTCAAGGCTCAGTTGAGTGCGCTTGTATAAATGACGTCACCGGAAATATTATGTTATGCAGAGAACAAACGGTCTTAATTTATACCCTCAATGGTGACTTCATTCTCGAGCAAAATTTATCTAGTGGCTTGGATGATCATATATCATCATGCGCGTGGTTCGAGGGAACTGGTAATGAATGGATTGAAAATGATCTTTGCTTCATTAGTCAACGAGGTGGAATAGTTAATTGCTGGAAAAAAACTGTGACTCAACACCCTTTTCGATGGGGACTTGAGCTGGTAAAGAAAATGGAGCATTATCCAGATGGAAATCGATGTAGCGAAACAGCAGTTGGTGGCCTAGACTTGCCAAAAAATGGGAGAAATACGAGCCAGACCTTCCGCGGTGGGGGTAACGACATTTCCATCACGTGTATCATGCCAATGGCTCAAACTGTTTACACAGGAGACGAGGAGGGTAAAGTGGTATGTAAAGTTCAACTGGGATATTCTCCCCAATTCTTTGTTGCTTACGATAAATATAGTATCAATGGGACCTGGTGCCACGCGAGCATTAAACAAATCATATCTAAGTGATACTAAAATATTACAGATTGAGCTCATCCAAAAACATTAGAGGAAGCGAGCATGGAAGAGGGTTCGGCGTACAAAAGATGAGACGGTAAATACAATGGCTTCAATTTTAAGGCGCACGGAAAATTTTAAAGGCGTTAAATCTTGGGTTTGATACATCTTATTGAACTTTATACCTGCCGTAATGCAAACTCTTCCCGTATTTTATACGCTGAAAATATTGTGTTATCTGCCTGCAGCGGAGCCAAACTTATGCCTCTTTTGCTTCGGATTCCTCCAAAAGCTCCTAAAGTGCTATTAAAGATAATCAAGCCCATTATTATCATAAAAATCTAAGAATCTTACCTTGTACAAAACATTGATAGGAAAAACTCCAAGAGTTTTCTTAGCTCAGAACATCTAAAGTTTCTATTAGTGTAAAAGATAGAAATCTGTAACATTACAGTAACTCATTCCGAAAGACATTTTAACATTCACACAACAAGTATATGGAACTCTGCTATCAAATAGTGGCTAATGCCGCTTTCGAAACTAAACGGACATATTTCGATAGTTGTCGCTACATCAATCGGCACTAAAGCATTAAATTCACTTCACAAGAAGTGATATAGGATTGTCTCATTGGACTTTTGCTGTTGGCAAAAGTAGGGCGGGAATGGAATCCTGCAACTATCTAGTCGTAGGAATTAAAATTTGCGTAGCTTGGATGCGGTTGTTTAGTTACATAAATTGTTATGATTAGCGTCGGTAATTACGATTCATATGTACACAGCGAGAAATAACAAACCTTTTTCTCTAGATTTCACTAACTGATGTTATTTTGTAGGTTCTCTACTATAAATTAATATCAATTGATCCGACGACACAAACTGTTGTGCGATAACCAATATTTTTTTGGACCTATCAATAATGGAGGACGTCAATGAAGCCGTCAAGGCGTTCAATTGTCACAAGATGACTTGGAAGAACTTGTGCCAGAATCTGTCTACAATCGAGGAGAGGATAATATTGCCTGAGATAGTCAAGAAGAGCCTTGCCGATCCCGCAAGACAAGCTGATCCTGTAGTGGCGTTAGGGTGCCGACTCAGGTCTTACGCGTCGCTCGTAGCCTCATAAATAGCGAAGACGGCAGCCAGGGTAAGAATTGACAGGGCCCAAAACTTGCAGCTACAAGAGCTACTTTCTAAGGCACAACAACACGTCCAAGGAGCATTTGCAATTCGCTAGATGCAAGGCAATAACACCGAGGTGCTCGTCCTGTCGGTGTCCCAGAGATATAGCGCTCAATATGCGACAACCAAACGAGTTCAAGATTTTACGGCAAGACTTTTCAGTCGAGGTTTCCGGTACCCCTTTGCGGACTCGAATTGAAAGTTTCAGAGATGCCACCGTCTATTCCATCATTAGGTAGATTGAGACGGCTACCAAGGGTCAGATTCCTGGCCTTGCAATTCACAGAATACGATGGTTACACGATGGTAAGGAGCACCAGCGGTCAAAGAAAAATGGCCGCGATCGAGGATCAATCGTGGTCAGCCTCTTTTCGGAGGCAATGCAAACAGAAGTAGTTCGACATAGCCTTGTGATTAATGCCAAGTTGTGAAACATGGAATAGTATGAATGGTATGGCTTTGGTCAAACTACGTCGTTTGATGAGTCGTAGCGCATCAATGAGAGCTGTTTTGGTTTGGGGTATTTCCTCGGGTGTTTGAAGGTAGTCTCAAGCAGAACCACGATGTTTCTAGAAAGTATCAGTCCTGACACACTGCGTGGAGACGCTCATGCATTTCATCATCACACGTAGATATTCTCAGGAGGCATGTGTATATAAAGTAGTTTTTCTTTAGACTAGGACAGACTTTCACCAATAGACTTTACTTTACATTTTCAATTGACCCTAAGGGTCTAACACAAGCTTTGCACCACGCAAGTGTGGTCACCACGAGCCCAACCAAAGTAGTTCCCCAACTGCAGCCAGTGGTGACACACACAGGCGTCGTATGGAAAGACGGTCAGGTGCGGTGAGTGCGCTGGTGCTCACATAACCTGAGACTTTCCCGGGAAAATGGTTTCTTGTGCAAAATACAGCAGGTAACATCTTTCATGGTAGAAAGTAGCATGTCGTACCTACTGGTCTACAAAGGGAGTGTGGAGAAGGATCGATGGAGCTTCAACTGAGAATAGCGGAAATATGGAGTGAAATTCTGTTGTAATTCATTACATTATATATGTCTTTATCTATCTATATTCTCTATTCCAAACAGTAGATTTATATTGATGGTCCATGCAGCGCTAATATCAGGTGATTTATTTAACTACCCTTGCATTACACTAACATTGGCACGTCTTGTGGCTTGACAAAATCTGCATGGGGATACACTCTGTTCAGAGGAGGGCAAATGATTGGAAGCGGAGCAGGACCTTTGCTTGGGGCAGAGGCCTACGACGTAGAGATTTTAGGAGCCCAGAGAGCACTTGAAGCAGCAGTACTGGTAGCCGGCAGTAAACCTATCAAGATGCTCCCAGACAGCTTAGAAGCTATCCAGGATCTGCGCAGCGGAAGGTCGAGATCATTCCAAGGAATAGTTGACAAGTTTGTCTCTGACTATCTAAATCACCAGTCAGTAGAGATTCGATGGATCCCGGAACTGTTATGCTCAGCTATGTAGTATGGTAGATCTAGTAGCTGGTGCATAGATAGTTATTATGGCAGCATGGCATCATGGCACATGAAGGAGATCCAGTCTCTACATAACGACATTACAAGTAGGAATGTGTGCAGTATGAGAGATGGGTTGTTGATATAGGATAAATGGCATGGCTGCTCAGTTGGTTGCACACTTTGGTGAGCTGCATACTGGTAACGTGATTGGTCTACAGGGAAACAAGCTAGGGGATAAGGGACAAGCTTCCCCCAATCTGTAACATAATAATTATCATAGTCACTTCACTTCTGCACATTAATGAAGACATCTCTCCACATACTGTCTTAGCTGTTCCAGCGCAAGTGTACATTCCCATTTCATATACCAAGTAAAACAGGAACACACAGGAATTGCAGGGGATAAGAGGGCAGACAAGCTTGCCAAAGCAGCTTTAAGGGATCTTCCGGAAGAAAGAACCGATATAACTCCCTCTACAGAATTAAATCGAAGAATAATATTTACATTTACATCCCTCAACAGGCTTGTGAGGGATCGTGCGGATAAGCTGGTGGCATCATGGTGGCAGAAACATGCGCATCGACACTACGTGGACTTAAATCTGAAGATGACACGCAAGCGGCCTCCAGAGCTTGTTCTGTCGAGATAAGTGTACCACAGGTTGATTGCGGCTAGGACAGGACACGGTGACTCCGTCAAATATCACGAAAGATTCAAGCATGAAGATATTGTCAGCAAGTATGAATGCGGACGAGAAAAACGCTCGTGGCACTTTGTAGGATGCCGACCAGCTTTACAGCGTTGGAAAAGTATTAAACGGGAACCCTTCCCGGAGAGCGAGCGAGATGCTGGCAGAAAATGGATGGGAGAAATTCTTTGGATTCGTGACTACAACCAGATTTCTTAGTGCACAAAATATACACTGGGAAGCCTAAGCACTCCCAGGGATCTGAAATTCTTTTCCTTTGGTTAGCTGCCGGGGAAATTAGGACAAGGCGCAGGGCGCATCTATTCGGACGCCATTATTTTTCATTTTTAACATCTATCTACTTTTTTATAGATTCTCTGGTAAGAAAAGCCCGTCATGTAGGTAGTAGTGAGTCCGTATGGATCACATACCCGTATCACGCCCCGTGGGTGTAGGGTGCAAGCTTGATACGACTAGAATACAAACAAACACTAACACTGGCTATTAGAAATATCATACAATGGTGCCAAAACGAATATCCGGAACTAATGATGATCAAGGGTCTACTCTGGTCACAAGTAAGAAGGCTGGAGGATCCAAAGGAGATCCTGGACGACTGTACAAGGTAGTCAAGGCTCCAGCGGCACCAGCTATCCCCTCAGCAGTTGCACCACCATCGGGACCGACTCTTCCGGCACTTTGACCACCCACGCCGAATGGGGAGGGCCCTTTTCTTCAATTTCTCCTCGCAATATAATGGTCGAAGGACAAGTTAATGAAATTCGCGGAAATTTTATCAAATAATTGACGAAAGGAACGTCATCAGCATTAAGCCGGGTCGGTTCATAGTGGTCGGAGAGTGGGTTTTGCTGCTTAAAGCTTTTTACCTAACTAAAGCGGCTTACTTTCTTCGCATTTCTGTAAATTAGATACCGAATGGGACGTAGTATAAGAATAAAATGATTAATCGAATCAATAAATTCTTAGGCTAGAATGAGTTGGTTAGATAACGGCTCCAAAGGGCAGCAATAGAAACTTAACGCTTACGATACCTGAGCTTCAATCCTTATTTCTCAGAGAAGTCAAATTTTCATGTGTTTCAAGTGCAATGAACACGAGAGACCTGATATATTCACAGCTTTTTCCATATTTCAGAGTTCTAGACGGAGCTTGTGGCTGACAAAACTCAGTACCTCTCAGCGATGCCTCTTCAATTCTACCAACTCTCACGACAGAGCTTACAGAGCCGAGATCAAGTTTCATATTTCTTACTATGAGCGAAGTTATCTCACCTGGCCTCAAATATATGCATGTGGTAACTCATATGGGAGGACAAGGATGGAATATCCATTACAAGTACAGCTACTCGTATTTATTTATATCAACTAATGTGGCTGCGTGCATCTTGACTAAACCATGTCTCTAAGAGAGGGAGAGAGAGAGAAAGATGTATGTTTATTGTACTACTTGAGTTGATGACTATCTAGCACATTGGGCTTCTCTCTGGCCCAGACTACACATTTTACAGAGCTCCTTGCCTCTTTCGTTACTTGAAAAATTATTGATATATAGCCCATAAAAAGAAGCTATTCAGCTCAGCGATTACCCGTTGAATTCGGCCCCCTTTTCCACG